AAGAACGAAGTGAAATATCGGAAACATCTGATGTCAAAGTTGATGTTTTGGTACAGTAATGTCTCCCTTACTGACGCTCAGATTACCTCCCTAACGAACGCTCACAAAAATGGAGAATTTGGGAAGAGGAGATACGATTATTCGAGCCTTGTGGCTCCTTTTTATAATTGTGGACAATTTATAACGATAAAAATAAACCGCGAGGCTCGAATAATCGTATCTGCTCTTCCCAAATTGTCCTCGCAATTGTCCCCAATTGTTTCGTGCACAATCGGGGCAGTAAATACTATCGTATACTAAATAATACAATAAATATTCAAAAATATACAATACTAAATGATACAATAAATATTCAAAATTATACAATACTAAATAATACAATAAATATTCAAAAATATTCAATACTAAAAAATACAATAAATATTCAAAAATATGCAATACTAAATAATACAATAAATATTCAAAAATATTCAATACTAAATAATACAATAAATATCCAAAAATATTCAATACTAAATAATACAATAAATATTAAAAAATATACAGTACTAAATAATACAATAAATATTAAAAAATATTCAATACTAAATAATACAATAAATATTAAAGAATATACAATACTAAATAATACAATAAATATTCAAAACTATACAATACTAAATAATACAATAAATATTCAAAAATATACAATACTAAATAATACAATAAATATTAAAGAATATACAACACTAAATAATACAATAAATATTCAAAACTGTACAATACTAAATAATAACGCGACTAACGTACATATATTCTTTTTACAACAATGTCAAGATTGGATTTATTTAAACTTGATACAGTTTCTGTTACAATATATTTCCCAATATAAGGAAATTTATCCCAAAAATTTCCCTCAGAATCACTTTCACAATTTTCTAACAATTGTAAAAACGAACCAGAAACAGAACTAGAAGTAGAACTACAGCAATGTCTCTCTAACTGAAAACTAAAAACAAGGCGCAAGACTCGAATCAATCGTATCTCCTCTTCCCGAATTGTCCATTTCTCTCCACAATCTGAGCGTCAGTTAGGGAGACATTACTATAACATTAGTTCCAGCGTTAAAATAGTTCAATACACCGATTCCATGGCTGAACTTATATCCTTCATTGCCTCAAACTCTCTATCCAAAGAAGTCTCTCCCCTGTAAAACAGAGTTTCCTAAATCCGGCGTCGGTCGGGGAGCTCGCAGAGCGCTCGACGAGCCCAGAGAATTGGCGGCAGATTGAAAGATCGGATAACAAGTTCGCGAGACAATCGAGCTGAAAAATTTCCGCCGCTCTCGGTGACCCAGAGTACCCTTAAAAAAACGAGGAAAAAAGGGGGGAGAGGGAAAGAAAAGAAAGCGTCGGGAAGAAGGGGAGACGAAGAAGAAGCCGCAGCTCGAATCGTATCGCGAGCGGTCCTCTCGTCGCGGTTAATGTCCCGGAAGGATCCGAGCTTTATATTTACTTTTATGCCTGCGTAAACGCGGCTCCCGGCTCTGGCCCGATTTTTATTGGATCGCGGATCGCTCCCGGTTAAACCGATCAAGATGGAAACGCTAAGAAGCCGTTCCACGGTTTATTCGTCGTGTTCCGGGCCGCGGACATCGAGCGCCCGAGGCGCGCACACCCGCTCGTAAACGCTCGGAACGCTGAAAACGCCTCGGATTTCCCTTTTGCGGCCGGAACGCGAGCGTCTTCCTCGGGAGCCATGCGTGACGAAACTGCTCCTTGCCGGCGACGTCCTTCTTCCTGCCGCCACCGTTCTCCTCGAGGATCGGCTCACCCTTATTTCCGAGCGTGCTCCTTCGCTCTACGAGACGCGGAGGCCTCCCTTCCGTTTTCATCCGCGACGAGGAACTGGGGTCGTTAGGTGCTCGGTGCTCGATTTTCATCGTTTTGCGGACGATCGATGCTCTGCTTAACCCTCTAACCGTGTGTCAGTTTTTCATATTTTTTTATTATTAGTTTCTTTATATTGTTCGATAATAATATTTTTATATTATTCGACATTCGATGATTTCATTTGCAAGTACAATTATACTCTTGTTTAAGGTTATGTCAAGGTTATCATTTTAAGGGTATCATTTTTCATATTTTATTATCATTTTTATTTCTATTATTATTATCATTACGTTATTCGACAATATTTTTATATTGTTTGATATTCGGTGATTCCAGTCACAAGTACAATTATACTCTTGTTCAAGGTTGTGTCTATATTTGCGAGCGAGTTATGTCTATATTATGTCTCTAATTACGAGCCAGTTTTTCATACTTTACTATTATTGTTATTTTTATATTATTCGATAATGATATTTTATATTATTCGACATTCGACGATTCCAATTACAAGTACAATTATACTCTTGTTTAAGATTATGTTGATATTGCTTAACACTCTAATCGCGAGCTAGTTTTTCATATTTTAATATTATTATTATTATTTTTATATTATTCAACATTCGACGGTTCATTTACAAGTACAATTATACTCTTGTTTATGGTTATGTCAAGGTTACGGTTTTCAAGTAACATATATTCATATTATTTCATATTTACATTAATATTTTCAACATATACAATATTATTACATATTACTTTGGATACATGAAACTTGTCAAATACTGCTTTTTAAGGAACTCAAACATTATTAACAGTGTTCGAATGTATTGTTTACATAAAAAAAGCAATCTATCGTGAAGGAGGACGGATTCCTTTTTACTTATATAAGGAAGAATTTCCAGATAGATTCGCGATCTATTAATTACTCAGAAAAATGACAATCTCGATAATTGTAAAATAAAGACTCAGAAAAATAACTCCTTACAATCTCGATTACTGTAAAATAAAGACTCAGAAAAATGACTCCTTACAATCTCGATAATTGTAAAATAAAGACTCAGAAAAATGACTCCTTACAATCTCGATAATTGTAAAATAAAGGCTCAGAAAAATGACTCCTTACAATCTCGATAATTGTAAAATAAAGACACAGATTTAATTAATCCATGATTCTCACGGGTTCTATTGTCTCTCTATTGTCTCGTGATCGCCCTCCGTATATAAAATAGTCAAAGATGGAAGTTTGGGAATAATCGTTGTTCCAGGAACACTTGTTAATAAAAAAAAAATAAGGAAGTCGACCGTTCTTCCGGCTTTTCCCGGCAGCGAAAGAACGCGCGTCCGCGTCTTGGAAGCGGAGAAAGGTGTCGCGTCGCGTCGCTGTAATTTCCAGCCGATTTGCCGAGCGCGACCGGATTCCATTGGTAGCTGTTTACCGACCGGCGTCGATATCGAAAGTAAAAGGCGACTCGCCTTGTTCCTGTTCTTATATTCCGCGCACCTCGACCAGTTTATCATGGTCAACAGTTACGAAAGCGACGTTTGATTTCGTCCGCGCCACGCCATTCTTTCAAAACACGTTCCGCGACCCGATTCTTGCGAAACGACCGACTGAATTTGCGTGGACTCCGTATTAAAAAATACTGGACCCGCACTTTTCTTTATTTAGAAAATAAATGTTTCATGTTAATGTTTAACCCTTTGCACTCGAAGCCATTTTAACTGTAAATCTAAATTAATTTTTCTGACTCGCGGTATTTCCATTCTATATGAAAATAGAACAACTATGTTGACCGAGAGAGAGAGAGAGAGATGTATAGATATATAATAGATAGATATATTATAGATATATTATATAGATAGATATAAATATAGATATATAATCATAGACAATAACAACTGAGGGTGATCAATAGGTTAACGAAGTGCATTTTATGCATATGAAATTTATAGTCTTGTGACTCGTACAACAATTAGACTTTGAACAATTTTTTACCTCTAGACTTTTATAATATAAAAATTATGTTGGAGCGTGATGGAACAATTTTAATGGTGTCTCAGAGTCACCACTCGAGTGCAAAGGGTTAACATTAACTGGTAAATTGCGAAATTTTGTGCTCTCGGTTCTCATTGATTTCTGATCTCACTGCAATTGAAATCAAAATTAACTTCAGAATTGTGTGTGTGTGTGTGTGTGTGTGTGTGTGTGTTCTTCAGTTTTCCTTATATTCATTAGTTTTTAATTACCGAGTTACAACGTTTTTAATAATAGGGGTTGATAAGTGTGTGCTTCCGTCATTGATCAATTAAACATATGGATTAAATATATGAAGATATTTCGAATGAATTATATGGAATTTATGGCGATGTTTAGTAATTGTTGACAAAATACGTTCATTGTCCTCCCATAAGAGTAATTAAAATATTGGTATTTTACATGCGATAAATATATAGTGTTCGAACAGCTAATTATAAAATATTACTTTTATTATCTCAGTTTCATTTAGTATTTTTATATTTTCTATCTTCATTTATATATTATTTTATTTTTCTTATATTATTGCTTTTATTATCTCAGTTTCATTTAGTATTTTTATATTTTCTATCTTCATTTATATATTATTTTATTTTTCTTATATTATTGCTTTTATTATCTCAGTTTCATTTAGTATTTTTATATTTTCTATCTTCATTTATATATTATTTTATTTTTCTTATATTATTGCTTTTATTATCTCAGTTTCATTTAGTATTTTTATATTTTCTATCTTCATTTATATATTATTTTATTTTTCTTATATTATCACTTTTATTATCTCAGTTTTATTTATTACTTTTATATGTTCTATCTTTTCATTTATATATTATTTTATTATTCTTATATTATCACTTTTATTGTCTCAGCTATATTTATTATTTTTATATGTTCTATCTTCATTTATATATTATTTTATTTTTCTTATATTCTCGTTCCTTTTATTTACTTTTTATCAGATCACTTTTACCGAATATATTAACATATTTACCGTCGATTCCGCGACTCGCCGTCGATTCGACGATGCGCCGACGATGCACCGACGATGCAACGAAGAACGAATCACCAATGAATATTCCTTAAAAATGTTTCAGGGACACAAGCTTGAGCACGCTGGCGGAAGTGCCCTCGAGATACCATTTCGCGGCTCACATGGGTCAATTGATATCCGGTCTGGAAGGTCAGGGATGCCACAATTTCTTCCCGTCGTGTCCTCTGCCTGGCTCCAGCGTTCTCAACATGATGAAGAAGATCCGGCTGCGTTGAACCGGCGGGCTCCCGGAAGCTGTCTTTGCAGAACCCACGAAAAGAAAAAGACGACAATGAAGCCTGTGATATCGAGGATCGTTTATCTCGTCGAAGGTCTCGGCAACCAGTTAATTCCGTTTTCGAAGATTCCTAAGTCGAAACGCTGTCGTCGGATCTCGACCGAATCGTCTTCTAAACTCTCGCGCGCCGTTCGGACCGTACGTGGATATCCGTATGCCGAGATTACGAATGTCTTTCCAGAAAAAACGTTGGTGCAGCATTCGAAGGTGTTTTGTGAACGAAATGCAATAAAACATGACGGAAAGGAAAAAATCACACTTGCCGGCAGCTAAAAGCGCGATGTATCGGTAATGTCTCCCTTATTGACGCTCAGATTGTCTACTAAATTGGATAATTTGGGAAGAGGAGATGCGATTGTTTGAGTTTTGCAGATTGTTTTTATAGTCACGAATTGTCAACGATTATAAAAACGAGCCGCAAGGCTCGAATAATCGTGTCTCCTCTTCCCAAATTCTCCATTTTTTCGAGCGTCCGTTAGGGAGACAATCTGAGCGTCAGTAAGGGAGACATAACTGACACTCAGATTCTGCACAAAAATAGACAGTTTGGGCAAAGGAGACACGATTATTCGAGCCTCGCAGCACGTTTTAATAGTTGTTGGCAATCGGTGACTATAAAAATCAGGCACAAGGCTGGAATAAACATGCCTGCTCTTCCTAAATTGTCCATTTTCATGGACAATACAAGCGTCAGTAAGGGAGACATATTACTGTATCGGTAATCACGGAGTTGTTGATTATATTTTTGTATTGTAATCGTTAAGAAATATTGCAAGCGTATTGTTGAGATATTTATAGGTACATAATTGTTCGTTACACTCGACCATTACGACGCGTACGCGTCGGATAACGATCCTAACGGTGTATCATTCTCGATAAAACTTTGAACGCCGTTCGATCGACGTAAGATAGCTTTAGACCGCGCGCGCCTAAGAGAATTAGATAATAGTTAACGTGTTCCAGAGATTTGCTCGCGTTTTATGAGCGAATAGAAATTCATAACTGCTGTATTTATTGTACGAGCCGCGCGTAATTGTACCCCGGTACCGTTTAACCACAAATACGTTCGACTTTATGTCCCTAAGTATTGCGGGTATATCGCGCGAAACGAACTGTACAATTAAGTCGTATGTCATACAATTACGTATTTTATGTTCTTCGAGAATAAAGCATCAATAAAGACATGTTTCCGTTGTTTGCAAACCCTCGTTGCCGGCGAAACGGTCTTCGGTAACACGCGTTTTATGCGCGTACAATTTTATATACCAGCGAAATATACAGTTTTACGCGAAATTTGAGAACTCGCACTGAAAAACCCATAAAACACAATTGCGCACTCCTCGAAGATACTGGCAAGTATATATGTTTATTTAATTTTAGATCGGTATTAAATTAGAATGGCCATATGCGCGGCTTTCGTTTCGCTTCCACGTGTTTTATTATACTTCCATAATTATCTTCATCCTCTCGTTTTATCACCGATATTTTTCACTTAACCAAACTCTGTGCGAAAGATAATCGATTGAAAATTTAATTGGATTCCGTGGAATTCTTTCTTCGAAGAAATTCTGATATTTGCGCGGATGTCCGGGAATCAAGGAACAATTTCATTTCGAGAAGAATGAAAAATCTATGGATATTTTTCTTTCTTTTTTTCTTTTTTTTGTTACATCTCAGCTGTTCCGGCGCATCGAACATTTTTTCTGCACTTCGGTGGTTCAATTTTTAAAAGATCTAGACAGACAGGCTTTCGTCAGAAATATTTAATTATATGTGCAAGTTTTAGCGGAATGCTATATTTATTTTTTTAGAAATGACTGTAAAGAATATTTAACAGTTCACGTTCTTACAAAATTAAGTTCATTCTCTTTTTAAGGTTATGTCAAGGCCTCTTTTCAAGTCAAATTCCTCCGCACAGTTATTTCTGAAATTTAATCCACATGCAAAGATATCATTTTTTAATCCTTTTATCGTGCCAACAAATTGCAATTTTTGAAAACAACTTTTTAACTATTATCTAGTAAACTAATTCCTCAAACGTCCCAGAAAAGTTTAGATTTTTACAAAATTAAGTTCATTCTCTTTTTAAGGTTATGTCAAGGCCTCTTTTTAAGTCAAATTCCTTCGCACAGTTATTTTTGAAATTTAATCCACATGCAAAGATATCATTTTTTAATCCTTTCATGGTGCCAACAAATTGCAATTTTTGCAAATAACTTTTTAACTATTATCTAGTAAACTAATTCCTCAAACGTCTCAGAAAAGTTTAGATTGCTTGACCCAGCTACCAAGAAGTTACAATTCTGTTTTAAAGGATTTCAGAATACTTTTTTCACCTCCTGTACTTTTATTATTATTACATTACGAACAATTAATCTGCGATACTGATTTATACAGTTTCATTTAATTGTTTTAATATGAACTCTATCGCAAACAAGTGAATTTTATTTGCAAAAGGATAAATATGATTTGCAAAAAGATTAATTTATAGATAATGCAAAAGTGTTAATTTAGATATCAACAAAAGGGTGAATATGATCTACAAAATCATTCATTTGGAAGTAATCAACGAAGCGTGGATTAACGTGATCAGTAATAGTGTGTCACCGACGTGGGAAGTAATTTTCGAACCAAAGAGTACTTTAAACATTCTCGACTGCTTTAAACATTCTCGAGTACTCGCACATAATGTTTATAATTCGAGTAATTCAAATCTATTGGATTGGCAACTAAGTAATTGCCGAGTTCAGTTATAGATGTCTCTCACTCCCATTTTTACGATATCCGTAAATGTTACATTATTATTATTATGTTATTTCTTATTATCCGTGAATGTTAGCAATTGGACAAATTGAATGCGGCGGTCAAGGAAAAGCGAGCAGAATTGGTCAATCGTAAAGGTGTCATTTTCCAGCAGGATAATGCTAGGCCGCACACGTCTTTGTCCACTCTGCAAAACTTGATGGATATTGGTTGGGAATTGATGTTACACCCACTACATAGCCCTGATCTCGCGCCATCGGATTACCACTTATTTCGATCCTTGGACAACTCCCTTCGTGGTAAAACTTTTAATGACGATGACGCTGTAAAATCTCGCTGAACTCAGTTTTTGGCCGAAAAGGATCAGACTTTCTACGAGCGTGGAATTTTCAAGTTGTCAGAGAGATGGCGAAAGGTCATCGAACAAAATGGAAAATACATTACACATTAAACTTCATTCCAAATAAAAAGAAATTTTTTATTTCATTGAACAAATCGGCAATTACTTAGTTGCCAACCCAATACTTGAAAAATACATGTTCCAGCACGTTGTCAGATAAAGTATACGGATCGCTTTAATTCCGGCGATCCTCTAAGGCCAGAAGACTGTAATTTCCCGGTGCCCTGAGCAACATAACAATAAAAATTCTCTTTCACGGTACCATTTCTCCGGCTCGTGTTACGCAACAGCCCGGAGTTCGCCTTTATTAATTCCCGGGCAATTACGCGAACGTTTCCTGCGTTCTCGAGATTCGTCCCTAATGGCCATTCCACGGGAATTTACCGACGCTCTCGAACTGATTTCAACGAAAGTAGTCCCTATTTACCATCGGCGTATAATATTTTGCGAGCGTATAACGCTCACAAAGGTGGTCAAGGTAATGGCTCCTTTCGTTCGTTCGAGCCCGGTTCTTGCAATTATTTCGCTCTGAGCCACGGCCAGAAAGGGGAACTAATTTGCGCGACAACAGTTTACCCATTCCGTCGTCGTATTGTCCGCGTTTAATCCATTGGGGTTAAATTTTCTTCGTAAATTCGATAGCTGCTTCCACGTTCAACGCTTCGTTCCCATTTCCCTTCGCCGTGCTCGGCACATTTTTCTCCATTTTTCGCGTCAACTTTCTTCCTTAATGCCTCGACTTTGTAGCAAAAAAATATCCTCAGTTCTCCCTAATTGACGCTCGGCTTGGAAACGAAAATGGACATTTTCGGAAGAGCAGATTCGATTATGCGAGTCTTACGGCTCGTTTTTATAGTCGTTGGTAATCGGTAACTATAGAAACGAGCCGCGAGGCTCGGATAATCGCATCTCCTCTTCCCAAATTGTCCATTTTCGTGTACAAACTGAGGGACAATTGTAGAAAATTTACTGTATTCCGAATCGATGATGACTAGATCGCGGATATTTCTGCGAAATAAAAGTTCCAAATAATGTTAATATATTGAAAATAATGTAATGTTTTAAATTGCACCTTGCTATCTGTCTCATATTTCATGAAATCAGCTGTCCAGTGATTTTAGTACTCCGTAGTAGTAAAATTTGATGAGAGAAGTCAATCCTTCTAGGTTGAATAAATATAATTTTATTTTCCTCTGTTAAGATTAATTAAATAATTTTTAGTCAGCTCTGTGGATTATCATTTCTACGAAGAGTTTCTCTAACGTGGTAACAAAAAGCTCAATTTTTATACTACTTTATACTACTTATATAAATTTATACTAATATAAATATACTAATACTAATTTGTGCTACTTATATAAAACTTTACTGTTATTGGTAACGAAATAAATGAGCAAAAAGAACTAATGAAACACGTAATTTCATTTCCCACTGTAAAGATTAATTAAATCATTTTTAGTCAGCTCTATGAACAATCATTTCTACGAAGAATTTCTCTAACATGATAACAAAAAGCTCAATTTTTATACTACTTATCATTCTCAAAAAGCTTTCATCCATTGTTCTACAAAAATAAATAAAACTTTACTTAGCAACGAATTAAATGAGCAAAAAGAACTAATGAAATACGTAATTTCATTTCCCACTGTAAAGATTAATTAAATCATTTTTAGTCAGCTCTATGAACAATCATTTCTACGAAGAATTTCTCTAACATGATAACAAAAAGCTCAATTTTTATACTACTTATCATTCTCAAAAAGCTTTCATCCATTGTTCTACAAAAATAAATAAAACTTTACTTAGCAACGAATTAAATGAGCAAAAAGAACTAATGAAATACGTAATTTCATTTCCCACTGTAAAGATTAATTAAATCATTTTTAGTCAGCTCTATGAACAATCATTTCTACGAAGAATTTCTCTAACATGATAACAAAAAGCTCAATTTTTATACTACTTATCATTCTCAAAAAGCTTTCATCCATTGTTCTACAAAAATAAATAAAACTTTACTTAGCAACGAATTAAATGAGCAAAAAGAACTAATGAAATACGTAATTTCATTTCCCACTGTAAAGATTAATTAAATCATTTTTAGTCAGCTCTATGAACAATCATTTCTACGAAGAATTTCTCTAACATGATAACAAAAAGCTCAATTTTTGATTTATTATTCTCAAAAAGCTGTCATACATC